AGCCACCTGTTATATTACCCTTGGACGGTCTAAGGTCGAAGGCTTCAAAAGCGAGCGGTCGGCAGTTTAAGTTCTTTACACGTCGGACAGCGTGATATTCTGCCAGTGGATTAACCCTCTCACATCAGATTAATATGCTACCCTGTTAGGTTGGACAGAGCAAATAATACCCTAACAGGGTAGCATTACCCTCACTTTTTAGGATTTTTTTCTTCCCTTTAGGTGTCAAATTTGTGTTAACCGTCTCACTTAAAGGTAACATGTAATAAGAACAAATTCTTTTCTTTCTTTCTTTCTTTCTTTCTTTCTTTCTTTCTTTCTTTCTTTCTTTCTTTCTTTCTTTCTTTCTTTCTTTCTTTCTTTCTTTCTTTCTTTCTTTCTTTCTTTCTTTCTTTCTTTCTTTCTTTCTTTCTTTATTTTACAAAGAGGTGTTTTTAAGGTTTAGATTTACATCCCCCCTTACCTACCGGGCTTGGAAACTTGTCATTTTTAACTGTGTAGGGAACAGCTTGCAAAACTTGCCAGTGGCCGCTTGAAAGTTTCCAAGCAGCCAACGTTTGAAAGGTAAAGCTACAACTACCTTGAAGGTCGGGCAGGCAGATCAAGTTAAAACCGGCCGACCCGAGATTCTCGCTGACTGCCAACTGTCACCTAGGTCCCACGTTAGTCTAGCAGATATACGGAGGGGAAAGCAAAACCTACCTTTATATAGATGTTATCGCACATTTACAAACGTCACGCTGCTAGGTTTTTAAAATCTACCCGTCCGACTCTTTCACGGAGGTCAACCTACCTGCCCTCCTCTAGAGAGGCAGACATCGGTCAAGTTTTAACGTTTACAGGTTTAAAAAACAAAATGAAACAAACTCGCAGCCCTTCAGACTCTGACCCCTGCGAAACCTAAATCCTTACAGGTTGTTGGAGTTCTACGCTTCGATGTCTAAATCTACCTCTTCAGGGCGTTACCCTTTGGCACTTTCATCTGCCTACTCAAAGTTTTATTTCTGAAATAGGTCCAGCCTCTTTTTGCATTTGTTACGTTTGTTTTACTCACCGTTTCCATTTATGCAACTTGACTTTTTGCTTCAGTCTAACGAGGGAAACAAGTCCCAGGTCCAAAAAGGGACACAATTCTCGGTCTCTCGCGTCACAATGGCCACCTTAGACTCTTTCACCTTGGCAAGGTGGAAACTTAATAAAGGCCTGTCCTGGGAGCAAAGGGTTGTCGTTTCCCGAGGTTCCAGGCCGGCGCCAGAGCCCAAGCTATACGCCTCTGCCCCGGGGGTGCCGGTCCCACATCCCACTGCCACCGACCGACTGCCTAGGGTCGTCCTTCCCAGTTACGTTTCAGAAGGTCCCAAGTGGCTGCACGTTCATTACTTCTTCAACCTCTACCTTAGCCTCGAAAGGATTGCCTGGAGATTCTACCACTTCTGCTATGAGAGAAAATGAAGAAAAAAACCCAAAAAACCCCCAAAACCACAGAAGTTTCACCTAAAACACGTGGGCTCTTCAGTGGTGCCCTAGGGCACAATCTAACACTTCTACATTATGGTCTCATTGCTGGTCAGTGGATGGGTGAGAGTCCTGGCCTTGCCCCTGATGGTGTCGACACCTACACCCTGCGGACAGATGGACGTTCTCCACCTTCCAGGCGTCGGTTGTTCAAGCAAGGTGTCAGAGTTACATGGGGAGCCCACTAAGGTCTATCTATCTTTGCACCTACACCTGCAAACCTGTACCTTTGCAGCACAGTCGCAAATAACTAACGGCTTCCTTCAGCACACATCTAGGATCTTGGCACGGTTCATGGTAAGTTGCAGCCTATCTGCACCTGAACGCCTCCAGCCTCCCCGTTGGCACCTCAAGAGGAGGGTCTTCCCAACCGAAAGAACTTCTACACTCTCTAGCTTTCGCCTTGCGGCCCTACAGTCTACTTTGGGAAGGTTTTAGGCCCGTGACGTCTCTCCACCGTACACGTGAAAGCTGCAGGGTTGAACCTAAGGACCCAAAAGACCTGTTAACCGGTTCCACGTCCTGCTGGCCCTCAGCCGCTCCCCTGACATCTACACAGAAGCCCTGACGCCTCTACCCAATGCATTTTACAAGGGGTCACCTGTCTGTCAGGAGACTCCTGCTTGTTCTTACGGGACCGGTTTCACCTTCCACGTCATTGTCACCTCGCACCCTGGCTGAGACCGCTCGCGTCTCTGGGCGTCACCACCAAAGGCAGCACTGAGAGGCAGGTGACAGAGCTACTCAGATTCTAGTAACACCAGCTTTCGGCTATTTCACGTCAGCATTCTACAGACTCCCTGCTCAAACAGCACACAACAGATCTCCAGCTACTGCAGGTTACAGGTTTCTTTACAAGTCTCCTTACAGACCACTCAGCCTACGCTGCGACTCCGATACCCACCCTCACCACACCGCCCGTCCTGCCCCCCCGGCCCTGGCACTCACCTGCGCTTGATACCCACCTGCCGGCTCCCAGTGTCCGGCCATCTCCTCGCCGAGGGGACAAGAAATGACACCGAGACCGTGTTGCCGGCTGTGCCGGGCTGCTTTATTCAACACCACCCTGCAACAGCTCCCCCCTGATACCCCCACGCACACCGCCGCTCGGGACTGCACTGCTGCCACGGCCCACCCCCCCACTCCCTGGCACCAGCACCTGCGTACCAGGAGCCCCACAGCACCCCTAGCCACAGCATCGCCCAGAATTGGTACTGGTACAGGCAACCCCGCGCTTACAGCTATTTCCAACGCGTTACAGGCACACGGACAGTTACAGCAGCAACACCGCCACGCTTTGCATCCCCCCGACACTTCCCCCGCCGCGGTACAGCCCCGGCCTGCCCCACTCGCCACTCGAGTTTGCTGGATGCTCGTACAGCCAACGCGGGGATTCGTGTGCCCCGAAGTGGTCCCTGTCACCTGGGGCACCCCGCGGGGACCTGCTCGGGTCACACACCGACCTTGTGGCCACACGCTGCCGGCTGGTTACAGCAGCCACCCACCGCTGCGGGGTCTTGCTGCAAACCGCCACGGGGCAGGCATGGTGTTACAGACCGCATGGTCACCACCGCAGTGTGCCGGCACCGGTCGAGTCTCATGCAGGGACTGCGGCCCACTGCCACCTCCTTGGGGGGAAGGACATCTTCTATTGGGGTGACATGCGTCACAGGGGGTGGCGGTGCCGGCCACGGTCCCGCTTCATCCTAACCATCGCCGGCTGTGCAGGACACCCCCCAGCGCCGAGGCTTGCCACGTGCCACGGCGATGCCTGGGGCGCCCACGCCCACCAAACCACCATCGAGGAGGGGACGCAGCGTACAGGTGTCCCCGTATGCGCATAAGACACGACAGCACATCGCGATATGACAGCCTGCGACTGTCCCGCTCCCCAGCCGTCCCCACGGTACACGCTGGAACACGCCACACGGGAAGGGCGGCACCCCACATTGCTCAAGTTCACAAACGCAGCCTGTAGCTTCCCATCTCAGGCGGCACGGACCCCACCGCGCCGGCGCTCCCACGCGAGCGTCCCGGCCCCAGTCCTTCGCACACAGGCACCACGCACAGGGCATCCCTCTCCACGCATCCTACAGACAGGCATTTATTACCCCACCAGCTCACGTGTACGGTCCCCCTTTGCCGTGGAGCTCAGCGGAACGTTTCCAGACCCTTCAAAAAAAATTCCCACCCCGCGCCCCTGCTTTGCCCACTACACCGCTGGCCGGGCTGGCGAGTGCTGCCCGGTCCCCGCATGGATGCACAACCCTGCCCCAGCCGAGCCACAGCCCAGGCAAGCGGCTCGCGTGGCCCCACCGCCCTCCCCAGCGCGCGTGGTGCCCGCCGCCGGTCTGGCGCAGGTGTCGGTGTCACTCGCCGGGCCGGTGGCAGCGTGACGACTCCTGCGCTGGGCACCGTCCATCACGTCCCCCGCCGAGCTTGAGGCGCTGCTGTTCATCTCTGCTTGTCGTCGCTGTCCTCCTCCTCC